TATGAGGTTCTGAGATTGGGTACAAAGGCTTTGGGGGGATTTATATTCTGGGCATGCTATTTCGGAGTTTCCTGGCAGTGGCAGCTTCAGCACATCACAGCACCCCAAAATGATTGAATTGGGAGACCCTGAAAGTTGCGCAAGGCTGTGATTTGGTCTCGGAATACGGCTTCCCTACGGCTGGGTTAGAGATTTTACTGTGTCTCTTTTAGACCTCCTGGCTGGTCTCTTGAGAAAAGCCTTTGCGAATTATGATTTGGAAAACATGATCACGGCCTTCCTAATCATCCGCCAGGCAGCCTTGGAAGGGCCTGCTTTATTCCCCCCTTATGCAGAATGGTTTAAGGTGAGAGCGAAGCCAGGGCAGGGGGGCTTCCTGGGGAGGAGACTCCTGGGCCTGCAGGAGCTCCTCCCTCAGCTGGGGTGGTTTTGGAGGGGGGCGGGTGGAATAAGGCCGTCCCAGCGGAGCAAAGATGCAGCCTTGTGATCCCCGCGTGCTTTCGTGCACTCGGGTGCCTCAGTGCAAATTCACCCAAAGGGAAGGGGGAAAGAAAGGCCAACGTATAACGTACAAACTGAGCGAGGGGGTGCTTGGGCCATCGTGCTGTGAAGGGCCACAGGCAGCTGCTCTGGACACTGGGGGCAGGGAGGGAGGGTGGGTGCTGGCCAGGTGGGCTCTAGGCACCATTCTTTGCTTTCAGCTCACTTTTGGGAATGCCAGCAGCCTCCATGGCAGCAGCAAGAAGGCGCTTGTCTTCTTCTTTAAGTTCCTGACACAGCTGGTGCCCTTCGAAGCTCCACAGTACCTGAAGGTGAGCCTTGTGTGGATTGCGCTGCCGTAATGCCTGTGGGGAGGGCTTCGGGATTTGCTAGGGCTTGCAACCTCCAGGGCTATTGAACGAATGCCCAAAAGCCACGCTGGCTGGGGATTATGGGAGTTGAAACTGAAGCAGGTGCCAGCTTGGAGAATGCTGCTCTAAGCAACATGAACCCCGATCTGCACATTTCTGCAGAGTGGATTTTGCACACACAAAGCGCGATGCTGCAAAACACGTGCATTTACTGTGCGGCCAGGCGCATGTCCGGCAGGTCTGGGGAAAGTGCCTTCGTCTTCTGCACCCCTCCTCAGAAAGAAAGGCTGGGGGCTCAAGGACATCCAGGCCCCTGAAATGGCCCCCCAGTTTCCCTGGGGTCCCAGGTGTGCAGCTCAGAGACCTGCTGCATTGATGTACCTGGAACAGGAAGCGTCTCGGCTCTGCGCTCCACCTTGCCTTGCGCTCTCTCTAGGTCCACCTTCTGCATCCCCCGTTCGTGCCCGGCAAGTGCCGCCCCCTTCTGCTGGAATACGTCACTTTGGCCAAAACCCGCCTGGCAGATCTCAAGGTGCCTCCCTCCCTCCCTCCCTGGGGGGGAAATGGAGACGGGGAGCAGAAGGGCCCCCTTCCACACCCCCATGGCCTCCTGGGCTCCCCCGTCTTCAGCTGTTCAGGCCTTTCTTGTCTGTCTCTTCAGGTGTCGATAGAAGACATGGGCCTCTATGAGAACCTGTCTTCCACGAAGGAAGCCTCCCAGGTATTCGCTCAGATTCCATCCTAATGAATGCTGCCACTTGTTGTCATGGTAACAGCTAAGGGCAGATTGCACCTTCATATCTGCAAAATGGGCCGGGGGAGGGGCGATAGTGTTACATTGCAAACTGTTTAACCAGCGGTGATGTGCCCAAATAATGCAAGCGGCTGGGATGTGCCCCCCGGAGTTTGGGGCTTAGAAGCCGAGAGGGGCATTTGGAGGGTTTGTTCCTCCAGCTCCTTTCCCCAAAGCCTCACATCTTGGAATTTGGGGGGGGCCGTTGAAAGGCAGCCTAATGAGACACCCTCCTTGTCTTCTAAGCTGTGGCACGTGACAAGAGCTCATGCCCGTCCTGAGCACTCTAATGGCCCAGCGTCCCCTCCTTGGCGAAAGGCTATTTTTTGCGTCCTTGCTGAGCCTCCCAGAAACGATTTTGCTGGCGCATATAACTTTTGCGTCCTGCTGTGGCCGTATCGTTGCGCCAGGCATAAAGATGCCTGACTCTTCCTTCAGCCTGTCTTTATCCGAAGCTGTTCTTCAGGCTCAGGAGCGTCTACTTGCGTTGACGTTTTGGCCTTCTTGGCCTCTTCTCCTGTTTTTGTTGCACTGATGTCGCTCCTGTCGGCAAATGCTTGGTCTGCATACAAACGCTTCTCTCCCATGATGAGGGGGTCTTTCTTGACCTGACCGGTTGTGCAGAAGGATGGAGACATGCTCTTCTTTTGTTGTTTGTGTGTGACGCAGCCATGCTGTCAAGCTCTTCAAGATGTTGGAAAGGCCATTCAGATATTCAGAAATACTGGCAAGATCCCGGCAAGCGTGATGGAAGCCAGGTAGGGTCCGCCTTATCTCCAGTTCTGAAAAGGCATATGGTGGAAGGAGAGAACCTTGAAAGAGGCAGCTGATGTACAAAGAGTCCTCAGAGGAGGAAAAAAGCCAAAATACGGGGATGGCAGATTCTCAGCTAAAAAGGCATTCTTTTGAGAGCAACTTTGCAAGCCCAGCAGTTTCCCTCTCGCATATTTCCAGATATTATAATAATAATTTATTGAATGTCTGCGTTGCCCAACTCCCAGTGACTCTGGGCGGCTCACAACAATCAAATAAATTACAATCAAATCAATAAAAGATTAAAAAATGGCAAGCGCAGCAGGCCGGTTGGAATGAAACAAGGGGGCCATCCAGATCTTGGGGGGAACCTTGTTCCAGAGGGCAGGCACTTTTACAGAGAAGGCGCGCTTCCAGGGTCCCGATAGATGACATTGTTTAATCAAAGGAGCTCAGAGGGCGCCAACCCTGCAGGACTGAAATGGTTGGGCAGATACAGATTTGATTCGTTGTGACTTTCTCTCAATTAAATTGTGGCAAGTTTGCCCCTTGGTTATTTCCAGTGACTTTAAGTGGACCTTCTTGCTCTGAGGAATCTGTCTGGGTCCAAGATGTGTCCTTAGATGAACCAAAAGGCTGTCCTTGGATGTTTCATTGGTCAGTCGTACCTCGGAGAACTTCTCTCCGTTACAATAAAACAAATCAAAGAGCTATCATTTAGTCATATCATACTTACAATCTGTATTTTAATCCTAAGTTTTATTTGCTTTTAATCTGCTGCTGGCTGATTTACTGCGATTAATCTGCCTTCTTCTGTTTCAGTATTTTCAGGCGGACCTATTATACCTCTTATTTCCTTCCTGCTTTGCTTGTACCACGAGTGGTGAGTTTCTCTTTTTTCCATTGTTAGGTGCCAAAGGGAATCTTTCAATCTTCTGGTTGTGATCCTTTTTGCTCAGAATTTTGCTCTGTTAAAAGAAAACACTCTCAAATGACCTGCGGGATAAAAATGCCTACAATACATTAACTTTGCGAGGCAAGATTTATACCAAACTTTTATTTTTATTACTGTAGCTTCCTGAGACCCCTGATTCCTGCATGGCTTTGATAGAATCCCTCAACAGGTAGGAAAACAACGTTTCCGATAAAAGTTGTCTTTTCCCAGCTTTTTGACAGGGAGGGCTGGGTCATTTGAACTTACTTTGACCTGGTTTCATTTGCAATCTGTTCTGCTTTCTTATGTGTGTACGGCAGTCTAACCAAACCCCTGGTTTTCGATCTTTCTGTAACTTAGAGTAACTGCTGTTCTTTGCAGCTAGCCAGGGGTTCTTCCAGCAGCATCAGATACAAATGTTCTGTGCAATGCAACATGATGGTTGTGATTTTCCTGCTTCCATACTGTTAGAAAAGCTGTGGGTATTGCCTTTTCACAAACAGCTAGAAATGGGATTACCACTTGGTTTTGGCAGTTCCCTTCCCCTTGGCCATACAAAGCATAGTCCTAGGAGCAAGTTTCTTTCAAGAGTAGCATTTCTAATGCTAATTAAAAGCTTTCTGGATGGAGGCTTACCCCCTTCACCTCATTTATCATTTCACTAGTTGGTCAATACTGTGAGACAATAACAGTTCTTTAAAAGTATATTTAAACTTCTCCCCAAGTGCTGTTCTTCTTTAAAAGTGTTGTAATAGGAAGCTGTTTTTGAAGAGACCTGACTGGTTTCTTCTCTTCCCTCTGGCACCTGGTTGTTTTAGGAAGAGTTTCTAGAGGCTGGATGTGCTACCTGTACGCCTCCGAGCGTCTGTCTGCCATCTCAACTGCATTTTAGAGCAAAGACATTTGTCTCAAGTTTGGAGAAAATAGGGAGTGGGAGAGGAATGCCACTAAACATTTGGCATGCAGCAACACTGAGTGGTGGAGAAAAAAAAAAATTGTGTCTCCTCAACTAGGGCTGAAAAAATTCCTCTGAACGCATATGCCACTTACATTGAAGAATGCGAAGCTGCAAAGAATAAGCTCCTGCGAGGTGAGCCACGTGAACTCAGACACCTTTCTTTGGCTCTGTGTGCTTAAGAGCCCTCTTTGTTCTCCTGCGTATGGGGACCCGCTTCTGTTGTGAAAAAGGGCAATACCTGGCTGAGCTGAGGCCCTCACATCTTTTTTGCAGAAAAGCAGGGCAGGGCCCGCAAGGGGAATCTGTGGCCTTGTTGGGCCGTGTGGTGCTGAGTCATCAAAGAGCTTCAGGGCAGGGAGAATTCTGGGACGCCACGTTTGGTGAGCCTGCAGAGTTACTCTGCAGTTTCTAGAACAAGTGCAGCACTGGGTGATGCGATTCTTCCTCAGCGTTGCAAAACCTGAGGTGCCGCAGTTGTTCTCGGCTGCTCGGAGTCCTGAGAGTTGGGAATCGGGCAGGGCAAGACGTGTCGGAGGCAGCTTGCAGGGGCCCAACCAGCGACCGGCCATCTCCAGGAGCTGGTTCGGTGGAGGCTGACCTCTAGTGGCTGCGGGAGCCCTCTCTCGCTCTGAGTACCGCTGGATCTCCCAATGTGGCCTCTTTTGGTCCTTTAATCCTCGCGGACTGATATTGACAGAACTGCATTGCCTGTTAAGCTCCAAGCGGCTGCTAGCTATTCCTGTAGTTGCCAGGTAGGATGAGCACCTGAACCCCTGGATTGGCCAGGCAGTTTGCAAATGCTGAAACACTTTAGTTTTGTTATCTGACAGGGGCTGCATTTGGCCAATCATATAAATTGTGATCTGTTACTCGGGATGAGCAACTTGAGCCGGGGGGGGAGAGAGAGAGAGAGAGAATGACAGGCAATGATAGGTCCCGTATGTCAACCCAGCACCCCATAATACCCTTGGCTGGGTTGAGGTTGCTCTGTCAAACTGCCGAAACTTCAGATGGTGAGTGTTGAGGTTCCAGGCAGGGCCCTTCCCTTCTGCAGGAAAGGTCTTCAGGTGAGCAGCAGCAGCAGGTGGCTTGGAGCGCTCTTCCTGCAGGCCTCTGCCTGTCAGAGTCACGGCCCCCCTCCACTGTTTCTGAGACTGCAACTCCCAGAATTCCCAGTGTGGTCCAGAGCTCTTTTCTCTGCTCCCTAGGGGGGTCGGCTGAAGGAGAGGCGAGGGGGCTTAAGGCGCCCTTGGAGTTGCTAAAGGCTGAACTAGAAGCACTGAGGCTGCTCATCACAGACGCAAACAAGCATTGTGGTAGGTGAAGGTGGATGGGCCCGTGGGGAAGGAAGTGGGCAGAGAATGGCAGAGGCTTCTTTGAGGATCTCCCTGAGCCTGTAACGTAATGGAGCAACGTTGAAGGGCCTCCAGGCTTGTTCACGTGACTGGGTTGAAAAGACACCTCTGCGAGATGAGATGGGGGACCCTCAGAAATTCCCCGGGGCTTCAGCAGGGCTGCAGCTCAGAACGTGGTGCCTAGATTACATGAGAACCCAAAACGGCAAATAGGATCCCTGGTCTTTTTCAGCTGCATGTGTGCATGGGCTCTCCTGCGTGGCCCTTCCTGCCTGACGCTGGGAATTGCAATGCGCCCTTTCAGGTTCTTTGGGGTGGGGCTGCTGCAGGTGGGGAGCAGAGTGGCTCTCCAAGCCGAGGGGAGAACAGATGTCGTATCCGCTCTTCTAGCATTTGGCAAAGCGGCTGTCTCAGCAAAAGATTTGGGCAAGCCTGTGAATAATTTCTGGCATATTGGTTAAATGTGGGTCTACCCCAAATCCATTTAGATCATTCAAGCAACATTTTGCTTTTGGAATGCATCGTTTGAACCCAGCCTGCCAAAAGCACATGACTGCTTCTCCAAGCTGACAGAGCAGTGTGTTTGCAAGATTTTTAAACATTCCTTTAAGACAGTGTTATGCAAACTTGGCCACTTTAAGATGAGTGGACTTCAACTCCCAGAATTCCCCAGCCAGCATGTTTGCACAACGCTGCTTTAAGACATTCAGCAGCTCGGCAGAAACAGCCTTGCCTTTCTTTCTGCTGCTCCTTAGCTGTACCCAGGGTCTCTTTTCTCAGCTTTTCTGGGATGGGGTTCTTCCGTGTTGCAGCAATTCCAGCCCAGATTGCGGTCATCTCTGAGAAGCTGATGAAAGTTTTGGGACATGTGAAAGATGAAGATGAAGCGGCAACCCTGACACTGAGGGTCAGGCTGGACCTTTTGGCTCCTGAAGTTGGACAAGCGGATCAAGCGGTGTGTAGGGGAGCTTTGTTCCCAGAGCCCGTGACTGAGGTGGGCAGGGCAGCTGGTGGTCTGGAAGGGCTATGTCTCTCTAGCCCCAGCTTAGCTGTACCTGGATGTGCTAGGTTCATCAGTGGAAAGGTGTAAAAGTGAGCAGGCTGTGTCTCTGTTCCAGGCTGTTGATCTTCTGCTGGCGTCCTTTTGTCAGAATGTAATGGCTGCCTCTTACTTCCTCCCTCCTGATAGGTAAAACAGATCTGTGTTATTTGCAGCTTGTAAGCTAAAACATACACGCGTCCTCCTTTGTTCATCCTCACAGTTCTGCCACGGTCCATTTGTGTTCCCCACAGGCAAGGGTCCTGGCCTTCTCTCTTTGTGAAAATGATCTGTGGGCACCGTCCCCTGTTGTCCTCCTTGCTAAGCCGTCTCTGTCAACTGCTCTACCACCAGGTTGGTTCTGCAGGACTGTGGAGCAGGGAACTATTCGAGGCATTCCTCTCTTGGAGAAGTTGCACTCCAGGAGATCCAGTGAATTTGCGGGCCTTGACCTGTCAGTCTCCCATTTCGCTGATTGCAGGGTCCTTCTCTGAGTGATGCTCACATCCTGGGCCTGGCTGCCTTTGCGATTCATTTCAACGAAGCTGAGTCCTTGCTTCCGCCAGTGGACCTCTGCTTCCCCTCAGCTCCTCGCGCTGCTCTTCACCCAGACCTTCCTCTTGCTGAGCTGTGGGATTATTTATTGGCGTGCAGGTCTGGAGACTCCGCTCTCTTCTGCTTGCGGTAAGCCTCTCTCCCCATCCGGGTCATAAATCTTCTCTTTGGTAGGGTAAGATGGTGCCTCATGCCACACTCTACCCGGATTGCCAGCTTGTGGGCAAGGACTCATCTGCGTGACCTTTAGAGAGAGCTTACGTGCATTAGGCGTTTTATAAAAATGGAGGGCCGGCATGGAACAGCGGTGCTATTTCTTGGGCTGATCTCTTTCTCAGCATTGTTGGATCAAACCCAACAGTTGGTGAGAAAGAGCTGCATGTATATTATTCCTCAAATGAAGAGGGGGATGAACTGCTAATGTTCGAAAAGCTGGACCCAACAAAATGACTCTTCCCCCACCCCTTTTCTGTAGGTTTTGTACTGCAGCAATTTCATACTTTCTGTGCAAGTTTCCTTCCTCTTCCCACGAGCGTTTGTGTTCCTCACTTCATCCTGGTTTTGTAAAAAAGGTAATTTTTGGTTTCTTAAGGAAATGACCACTTTCCTGCACTAAGTTCAGTCCAGCCGTTCTCTGTTTTCCCCCTGCAGGGATTCCTGCTCAGAACTTGGTGCTGGGTGGGACCTGCCCTGTTTGGCCACGGTCCTGCCTGAGGAGAGCTCAGAACGGGGTGGCGGCTGCACCCTCATCAGTTCAGCCTCCCCAAAGCGGCACTCTTTTATTCCTCATTCAGGGAGTTTTCGTACTCCAACATCTCACGTGTGCCAGTGCTGCATAATAATTAAGCAGTGTGTGGTGAGACATGAATAAGTAATGTCATGCTACCAAGTTAATTTCTGTAGCTGCATGACTGAAGAGGAGAAACTGGGTGGAAATGAAGAATACGTGTGGGAGTTTGTGGTGGCGGCGGGTGTGTTTCGAGGCCAATCTCGGTTTGTACCTGAGGTGTTTGGTCAGCGACACCCTTCTAGGAGACAGAGTTCAGGCGGGTTTCTTCGTTCGAACCCAGCCCTGTGCTATGTCAGTGCAACACAGTGGGCGACCTCTTCTGCTTGCAGCTTCAGTATGTCGTGCCACGCCTTTGCTTAGAAGCACGAGGAGCTAGCTGCGAAGGGGACACCGCTGCGTTTCCTTGGAAAATGTTATCCTGTCCTACGCTCTGCTACCGAAAAGCTGCCCTCCGCTTGTGGAAACAAACCTGCTTCAAAGAACTCCTGCAGGAGAAGGCGTTCCAAGTAAATCCCGTGGTGGAGGCTGGGGCTTCGCATCCAGTGCTGCCCTAATCCCTTCCTGGCTGGGGGCAGTTGGCTTGTGGGCTGAAGTTGACCCACATCAGAGTTACCCTTGAACGGGATATTGTTTGAGCGAAGGAGCGAAGCACTTTAAGACAGGGTGGAGATCCTGGGTCCAGGGACACATGCGCTCCTGAGCCCCCTTTCTGCAGCTCCTGGAGTCACCTTCCAACTGCATGACTACATCTGACCTTCCCTCCATTTTGAGATGGAAAACTCGTGACCTGAAAGCAGTAGATAGAGTAGTTAAATCGATGAAGGCAAAGATTACTCCCTGCTGTAATCTAGCCATGCCCATGGTCCTGAAGGGCCCCCTCACTTTGCATTTCTGTCCTCTGGGCCTGTCCAACAACCATGAAACTTGACCTCCGCCCCTCTGAGCGGAAGGCAAGCGATTTAGGGGCGCTGGAAACACCCTTGTGCTGAAACAGGGCGGTGCAGAGTCTTGAAGGGCTGCTTGGCTCTTTTTGAGCCTTTGATGAAGTGCCCCCTCAGTGTGGTCCCATGAAGTGGATGGATGTCCTGATCCTAGATCACTTTGCTGGGCTTCTGCAGATGTGCAGAAAACTTTTCCATCTAAGGAAAGTGAAGAGGCAAAGGAAAGCAGCCTTTTTGGATGCTCCCATTGGCAGCACTGGGATGAAAAGTCTGGCTCTGTGCGGTGCTGCTTTGCTCCAGCAACCAAGTGGCACTGAGGTGACTCCGCGAAGTGAAGCCCTGCTCTTCTCATGGCCCTGCTGACCCACCTCTTATCCCCAGCACTGCTGCTGGTTGGAGAGCTGCTGGAATTGCTTCTCTGGATGGTGCTCCTCCTCGAGGATGTGGGTCAGATAGTTGACTGAAAGGGGATCGGGGCTGGTTGGGGTCCGCCCAGTGAGATCCAGGAAAACCTTGCCCAGAGGGAATGGCTTGGCCTTCTCCTTCCTCCTCAGAACCAGGGAAGCTGGCTGACTGTAGGATGCAGCCTGCCTGGGGATTGTTCCTATTTGTGTTTCTTCTCCTGCACTGACTATTTTTGCCCTTCTTCCAGCTGACCCTCCCAGAGTGGTTGAGGATGGAGCTGGAAGTCCTCCCTGACCAAGACATGCTTTCCGCAAACGAGAGGTGAGAGCCGCCGGGCTGAGTAAAAGAGCTTATGCCATCCTGGCTGGGGACAGCAGAGCGAGGGGCCGGGTAAATGCAGAGATGAGGCAAAAGACGCTTGAGGAAACTCACAGGTGTGGCGGGGTGAAATAGTACAAACCCAGCCCTTCTCGCTCTTGGGTTACCCTTTGGGTATTTCCACAGGAAATGCTGGGAATGCCTTCAAGTCTCTGCTGTGACATGGGATTAAATAATAAGACAAAGCGTGCTGCAGAATTGCTTTAACTTTAAGGTGGGGTTGAAAGTGGGTTTCCACGCTCTTGATGTGCTCTTTAAGTCGCTTGCTGGTGAGTCCAAAGTGAGTTTCAGTTAAGCATCTGTGGCCTCTGTGGGCTGACCGGACTCCTTTTCCTGAAAAGATGTGAGAGGGGGAGAGGGGTGAATCCAGCTATCTAAGCCAGTGTTTCTCAACCTCGGCAACTTTAAGATGCGTGGACTTCAACTCCCAGAATTCCCC